ATATATATATATATATATATATATATATATATATACTCCTGAGTAGAAACGGAATTGATGTACACTTCTAACACTATCGTTCAACTAATGAGGTCGTGTACCAAGTCCTTAAGTCCGCCGTTGCCATTGACGTCGGAAACTTCTCCCATATTTCCTGCGCAAATACATTCGAGTGTTTGTCTCATTTTCCTCCTCTCATTCATGTTGATCCGGTCTCGTTCTCTTTGCATGTAACCCAGTCGAACCTACATTTCTTTAAAGGTGTTCTCCATACTTACCCGTACGCAGAATCGACCGAGTCGTCCCCCCCAATGTCGTCATGTATGTTGCATAAATAATCTCATATGCGGAACTTCTAACCGTCTACTAACCAGTTCAATCTAGTCTATTGATCTTAATTCGAGGATGGGACATATGTATCTAGCCGGTTGTTTTGGCTATCGTTGTTTTCCTGCCCCAGTGGGTCTTATTTGTCGGACAAATGTCGTATTGATCTCCATTTGGCTTTGTCCCTCTCCCTGAAAGAGTTAGCTAGTAGCGTGTTGTGCCTTCCAATATACTGTGCACAGTCCATTACTGCTCCTATAAGACGACCGTCCTGGTAACGACTCACTCCCCAATGCTCCCGTATGGTTATGCACGGCTATCGCAGCTATGGGCTATGCGATACGACCAGTCCTCCAATCGAACCGAATGTGTTTGAACTTCCGAAGTCGTGATAAAGAGAAAGAGCACAAACAGAAATTATGCTGCCGTTTTCCTATATCTACTGGCTGCACCCCCTCTTTAATGCTCCCCATAATGAGCTCAACTCAAAGGCGACTGAGCTTGATGGGCTTTTGTAAAAGCAGATAGAGACATGAACCTGTTTGTTGCTAACATTCGTGTTTACTGGCTCGTTTGGGTAGTTTGAGGTAAATTTCGTTAATATCCTGCCGCACGTACATCTCCAAGCAGGCAGTTGAGGAATGCAATTACATCTTTCAAGTTCCGGTCACGATTTAGGGACTAGGATTTCTACCTCGCGCCTCCTCAACTTCTTTATCGAAATCCATGTCTGTTCGTGTTGCTTCCAGTGAACCTATACATTCTGGTTGGCGACTGGAAGAAAACAGTTGCGCATGGCCTGCGGAAGATGTTACATTGGTTTGCCTTGTGAGATAGGGGACTATCTTGCTATCTTCCCACGGCTTATAGCTATTTGAGAGGCGCTATTTAACCGGAATATTGTGTGAGACTACCTCAAGGCTTGTCCAGTATTGTCGAGTTTACCTTAAACGTAGTAGTGGTGGTGACAACATGATCCCTTCATTTGTGCTGGCAGGGAAACCGAACTGAATAAATTGATCCATCACCTCGTCGATGGTGCTCAGAGTCATGATTCTCTCTGAAGGCCAATGTAGTTCAAGATATGAGCCGGAAACTACTGCTCGAGAGGCGTTTACGGTAATCCTACAAGAGAGGTCACGCCCTCAGGTGTTCCATAAAGATATTTCCGGTTGACTAGGATTTGGTACGCTATTTACTTGAGGAAAGTCAAATATCCCCTCATTCCATGGTGAATTAGTGTAGTTCGCATGCAACCTTGATTTTTCGGCTGTTTTCCTCGTGCTCCCCTCAAACTGTGACAGGCAGTTAAAGGGTACCAATCCTGTTCGATGTAACTTCCCGCGATTAATTAATGGGTGGAGAATAGCGGTCGAGAGTCAAACTTTAAAAGATTCCTAAATTTAGATTGGAAGCGGAAATTCGAAATGAGCATCAGGCAGCTCAATGTAGCTCTCTCTTATGGGAGGCAGCTTCGTGGTTCAATAACCCAGTTCCTTCCCCATAGGAATCCTTGTTTGGAGGTCCGTAAATGGGTCACCGCTCTATAAGGGAGCTAACTTTATAAGCATGACAAACCATGGATGATTACCGTCCATAAGCAATAACTCCAGGATGAAAACACTTTGCACTTTAGAAACAACAAACCAGAGGTTCCCAAGTTGGAACGCCTTCTGAAGGTCGCCACGCTTTGAAATTCTTTAGTTAGGTTTAACATTTGTCCCCTCACTGGGCTGTCGCATCGGCTTCATTGATCGATTCCCCTTCCTTGAGCTCACTTGGATGCATCGCAACACCTCATATGGCCCGATATCTTCGGCCAGCGTTCTTAGCCGTCCTGGAGCCTTATCATCTTCCATAGTTCCCGTCCCACTGAATTCGCAAATCAATCTCCCTATCAACCGATATTCGTTGTTTCCGGTTGAGATGGTGCATTGTTTCGCGGGCGTTTTCTTCATCATATTTCACCTACAGAAATATGATCTCGTCGCGTCCTTCCTGAATTACACGAGCCCGGGGTTTTTGTACACCGCAAACCCTGCTTCATCCAAAGCTGTACGCATCCATGTGTCAGATGTGTGAAACGACTAAAACCTGGTTGAAGTTTATGCATTTCTCCGCATGTTCACACACCGTCCTCTGATCCTGATCACTGGCGGGCATTCGTTGGGTTGGAAGCCCATATGCGCCATTTTTCCTGTCATCTAGATGAGCGACCTACATCGGTTGAACAGGCAGATACCCGCGTGCGCAAGCAGTTGGCAGCATACGCGATATAAGAGAGAAGTTGGTTGTTCTTCGGTTAGAAGGCTTTTCCGTACCCGAGGTCGATTTTTGCGCCCTGAACTTTCAAATGTCCTTGGAACTCAAAAATAGGCAGTGCGGTAATTGACACCATCTGCTTGCGCGAAGGTCTGACAGTCTTTTCTGTAACGCGATGAGGCGCTTGCAAGTCTGTCGCACTTTTTCGGTGGGGTCATCTGGCGGACGCCTATTGACACAGGAATAAATTACCTCACGAAGTAGGTTACTTGCCACGAGGCCCCGAAATGACCAGGACGTGCCCCTCTGGACCCATTGGAATAGCGTAACGACTAGCCTGAGAACCGCAAAGCTGACAACGCCGCGAAAAGTGTGACAAGATTGAGTGGTGGATACTCCCTCTGCGCCTACCGAAAAGGCTCGCTGAGGCATGTGCAGCATGCTTGAGCCAGACTTTCCGTCGGCCCACTGCAAACGAATGGATCCACAGTGTAGGTCAGTTGCTAAGGCGTCCGTCTATCAACCGATCATGTTGCTTCCCGCGCGCAATAAGCCGACTGGAAGAAATTGCGAATCAGCTGAGTTTTTAACTGAGTGACTCTAACAAACTAGGTGGAACACGCTACCCACAAGATTGCTGGAGGTCTGCATCCCAGTGCCAGATTCTTTGTCTAGCTTCAGGGCAATTATCTCTGGGTTTTACTTCAGCTATTGCAGTGTGGCGGAAGACTTGTGCGAATGAGACTGTACTGGGGTAGCTAAACTCAAAATGGGCTTTCAACCGATTTTCATCTTTTAGTTAGGTCGGAGTGATATTACGGGTATGTTCGAAAAAATTGCTCGAATTTAAATGTGATATGGGAATGATCAAGTTGGTGAAGATTAGTTTTGAAACTCACGCCTGACGAAGATGACTCGAACTGGCTGGCGGGGATTTTTTCACAGATTTGGTCTCATTTAGTTAGTAACCAAAGACCTCTAAACGTGCCACTTTTTACGACAATTAGAATAACAAATGAATTTTACCCTTCCGGCAGTTGATGATGGCTTGCGTCTCAGTGAAATGCCGCAGTTTGAAGGTCTTTGATGCTAATTATCGGCAGACCCGTGGTATCCAAGTTCGTTACGTCACATTCTAATCGTTGAAGCGGTACTTCCATACACACTTAGTACAACGGCAGCTGAAGAAATGCGATAACGAGTCTAAACTGAGCGTCAGGAACCCCACCATCAAATGAATTTCTTGGCTGTTGACGGAATCATCCGTTAACGACGCTAAACAGAGCACCGCGGAAAGTCCAGATAAGCTAGAGAGCATCTCTTACAACACAACGCAAGCATTTGTCGATGGATCAGCGGTTTTGATGTAGTTTGCCTACGTGTAACCAGACGTCACCTGAATATCCCATGGCTACGCGTGACCAACAAAGATACATGACTTCCCAACTCCTACGAGGGTTTGCAACAGACATGTAAACTTAGGTAAACAATCAAACGTTACTTAAATTGTTGTCAATTCTGACAGTTAGCATCAACTCATAAGCCATGTGTCATGATGATGTTCCAGTTGGCCAACACAAGTTAGTGCATGCTCCATTCTTGAATAGTGTATAGTTGCATGTTCGTGACCGTCGATTTCTATACCGAAGGAGGAACATGTACAACGATCTTCACGGATCAGTGTCGCAACCCCGGCTTGTGGAAATTGCAGTCTCGAACAGCCAGTAAATTGATGAATAGCAGCTTACTTCTGTATAAAAAGTTTAGGTTCTGGTGTGAATCGAAGAAACCAGGACTGTTTTCGATGTCGTTTCCGTACGTTCGCATGACTGAATTTGGACGACATCATTTCGTTGCATTGTTTGCGCTTTAAGTGCGTACGTAACCTTTTGGTTGTAATAAACCGAATTATGAGCCGAAAATTTTGCAGGAAACTACTCATGAAGTTGCTGGAACTCTTTGACAGCCCACGAATGACTTCGTGCTTTTGACTCGGACTCATCAGGCGGACGCAGTCGCCGAAATTCCGTCATCCGTGTGTTTTATTTGGAACCAAGTTGTAGGAAATTGACAAAGTGCACTCGCACATTCGCGGGGGATCCGAGTAGAATCACTCGTTTATGATATTTTTCAAATGAATCTGTCGCACAAAGATATCATTTTTCACTTGGTACGATATTCGAGATATCGTTGTATATTTTCTTGAAGTAGCCTGCTCATTTGAGTGGATTTCGTACAAGTTGGTTTCAAGTAAAAGTAGGGTTATCGAAAACTCGAGGATTTTACCTACCTGATGACCCTGAAGCAGAAGCGAAAAAACTGGTCGTGGCTTGTCGAATAGTGTCCAGCAGCCTTGTGAGTAGTTTCTTGCAAGAAAACATACTGTTTCGAGTATCATATTAACTGAAACATTATGAGGCCTTTGTGCAGCACGTTCAGTTGAAGAATACCATAAACGAGATATTCAGTCTGGATTCAGCTAAATCCTCCGCGAAAGCCAAATTGTCGTGCAAATCAGTGTATTTCGCACACGTCCCAAACTGCTTTGCACATTTCTGAACGAATCTGACGTTCTATCCTTTTGTTTCATCTTTTCCCATTTCTGTAACTGGTAGGGATCAAAACAATGCTACATGTGCCCAGCTTGAAACCCGCCGCAGCGTGACGGTTTGTACACACCCATTGAAGGCCTCAGCGCAGAATTGCACCAAAGTGATCGGCAAACTGTTGTCTTCCAGACAAAGTCGAGTAGGACTGCTTTCTGCCTGCCTTGTGTTAACGACCACTTAAAACTTGGTTTCCTGTCTTTGATTATTCTAACCCATGGTGTTCACTCAGCAGGCAATTTTCCCACGCGGTCAAGCAAGTACACATACGTATGCTCAGCGGATCGTGCAAATCAACTTTGTTGGTGATCGCGTCGGGATGGCTTAAGGCCGCTGAATGATGCATCAGCAAGCCGACCAGGCAGGAGCGCACGGTGTGAGCAAGATGCACGTGTGAATAGGCGTCCCACTGACGAAAACATCCGACATACTTCCAGCTGTCTTGTCTTTTTCGTGGAGGGCTTTATCAGATGAAAGATACGGAACGGAGCCTAATCCAATTCTGTGGGCTCACTGAATCGCAGATCAAGAGGAGAAAGTCATGCCACCATCAACCAACTTGGGTATCGCCGAAAATTATGGCTAACGGAAGTCACCGATAAATCACCCTGAAATGATGATTTCTTGATTTTGCCGAGAAACTGGTCTCAAGGAACTTTCAGAGTATTTCTTTGTATTCGTTCTACTAACAGGGACCTGCTTGTGGTGGAGTACACCACTGTTACAGTTTCGTCATATTTTCGCTTAATATACTGATTTGCATACTTATTCGACTTTGAAATGAGACTTAACTGAATCTAGCGGAATCTCCCGTTTATGGTGGTCTTCTTCACGTGGAGATCTGCCAACTGTACTCACTTTTTCGGTTAGTTTGGTTGTCGTTCGTTCGCAAAATTCACGTAACTT